TTCCAATGTTGAAACATTTGGTGCAGGTATATCATCAAGTCTGCTCCTGATTGTGCAATTTTCACAGGACATCCCATACATCCATAACATGTCCGAAAAAATACTTCGGGCGGTCAATGAAGTTTAAGCTCTCAAACCCTCGGTTAACAGGACATACGGTTGGAATCTCGGTATGATTAACATCTGTTTTGGGGTTCTTCATATCTGTGTAACATTTGATGCTCTACTTACGATTAAGACCGGTAATGCATGCTTGATAGATTTATGTTCTGATAATCAGTGAAAATTTATGCAAAACGAAATTTTACTCATGGCATAGTCTTCTCCCATTTAGTGAGACCCGTCCAAGGGTACAGTCATACCTTATTAAATAAGGGTCTTAAAGTTGAATGAGGTAAATTAAGACCTTACATTAATGCCCATAGGCTTAAAGCTGAAAAATCATGTGTCAAATGTCCTTATAAGTCTGTCAAATTACTGAAAACAAAAAGTTCTGGGAAAAAATAACTGCCTACTTTCCTTTGACGCCACACGGACTGCATAGGAAACAATGCCTCAAACAACTCTTCGGTGTCACGGGGAAATGTTTAACGAACCATTACCTAGCAACAATAAGGGGACACAGACAGATCCACAGACTCTCCTTTGATGTCATGGACATGTCTTCTATTGTTGCATGTATTCGTTACCTCGGAAACATATTTACCGAGCCGTTGCGTAGTAACGAAAGGAGCGATAGACTTTGAAGAGCCTTTACCTAGCAACGATAAGAAGGATACACACATATACACACAGATTTATGGGAGACATTTATGCAGTAAGCCGCTGAGATTGGCTCAAGTGGCTTGACAAATATACCAAGATTCGTAAAGATTGGTTCAGGAATTCAAACGTTGATGTGGGAACACACAGACAGCAAGGTGGTTCCATAAGACTCTTTTTATTTTTTTAAAATAATAAAAGTATTCTAATAAGTTGGATGCACGAGCATAAAATGGGTAGAAAATCATGAAAGTGAAAGACACTGACACAAAATAACGCTCGTACAATAAAAATAACATTAATTAATTTCGAATTATCTCCCATATGATCCAACAGTTATATGAATGAATTCATTTCGTCTCGTTAAGCAAAGATAACGGGATCTACTAGTCAAATATCTTCACGTTGATGAAATGAAGGAAGATGAGATGGGCGGGCATGCAGAACGCATGACACTGAACAGAATTTAATATAATGTTTATGTATGGGAGGCTCAATGGAAGATATGTGGGAGTAGATGGGAGAATAATATTAAAATGGATCTTAAAGAAAATGAATGGGAAGCTGTGCACTTGTTTCGTCTGATAAAGTGGGGGGCCAATGCTGAGCTGTTGTTAATACTGTAATGAATTTTCAGGTTCCTTCAAATGGAGGGGATTTCTTGTCAAAGATAACACCTATTAAATCCTCAAGAAGCACTCTGTTCGACATAATTAGTTAAGTAAAGATAACCAGTTGAGCGACTATCAGCTTCTCAAGGACTCCGCTCCGTCGATTTAGTTACATAAAGATAGACAGCTGACCGTACCAGCTTTTCAAGACGGGCTCCGCTCCTTCGAGTTAGTTACATAACGATAAACAGCTGAGCGACTATCATCTTCTCAAGATGTTGAAATAATTCTTCCTGGGACCGAATTTTCTGATGTGATTTTCGATTCCGTCCACCAAACCAGTTGTGCTTGATATGTCTCAGAAGATGGAGTGCGCCACGGAGTGTGCGCGGGTGACGCAGACTCATGCATGTGCAAACAGCATTCACGTCTCGCTGTACAATCGTTTTCAAACAACTGGTGTGAAACTAATCCTAAGGGGCGCACGTAATAGCGTAGTTGGTTGGGGCACTATGCTACGAACCGGAAGGTCGCGCGTTCAATTCCCAATGATGTCATTGGATTTTTCAATTGACCTAATCCTCCAGCCGAATTATGGCACCTGGGGTCGACTCAGCCTCTGAGAGAAATGAGTGCCAGTTATCTTCCTGGAGGTTAAGGGCGGCCGGCACATAAGGATGACAACCTCACTGCTATCTGTCAGCCGACTGTCTAGAAAATGTGGGAGCCTCGACGAATCACAAGCCTATGGGTCTCCACGGCCTCTTACATGGATAGCTTTAGTCAGACTAACGAGCTTGTAATGAATTATAAATGACAAATTGCTCTAATTACGGTAATTATATGTACCTGCAAGTGAATTACAGGTTTCCATACTCGGAGTAACAAACCTTCTTTACGATAGAACGTTATTACAGAGAACAAAGTAAACACGTCACTTATTCTAAAGCAAAAAGAAAACGCATATTAGCTTCTACACTGGCTGTCAGCGAAGAGCACCTAGCATGAACGACTTGAGGTTATCACAGCGGTTGTTATGAACAGTAATATCTTCTGGGATATAACGCCGTGTAGTCCCTTGAGGGTTATTTGACGTTTCGGAAGCGCATATTGCCTCCATCTTCACGGTTAACGAATAAGCCAAGCAAGATACCAGCGTGAAAGTAGGTGGAAAGCAGGGTTGACTTTTGAACGGACTGCATCGTATTATATCCAAGAAGGTAGGGTTCTGAAGCAGCTAGTCTCTTCGCTTCGGTGCTGGTATGAAATAGGATTCTGTC